CCAAAGGTGAGATTCTTTTTGTTATATATATATAGGCAAGAGTTTGGCTCAAAAAGGAGTGGGAAGAAGAAGACCCATATTTCAGAATGTTTTTGAAGAATCTGTTAGAGGGTCTGACTAAAAGGAAGGTGATTGAGGACACTCAAGGACATTTGACAACATTTATGGACATTGGTCAACTCCCCCATATGGACCAATGGTTCTACGTGGTTTTTTTGTTTTTTTAATCATTGCATTTCTTGTGTTTGAACTGCTTGATTCTCTGATCTGTGTTGGGAAATTTAACAATTTTGTAAAGTCCTCAGAGAAAACTACTGTTGTGATTTAGGGCTATACAAGAGAACATTGAATTGAGTTTAAGTTATTACAAAACAAAACGATTAGTAAGACATAAATAATGCATCACCAACTAAAGAAGTGATGAAGGCTGGCACTTTTTAGTGGCAATCCTCAAAGTGTTGTGTTTGCAGGTTGTTTCCAAATCAACACAAACATGAGAGTGCAGACTAAGCTCGAGCTGATGGAACATAATGTGATTTCACATGTTGATGTTCTGTGATGGCGCTAAAGGGAAAACCACAGGAAGAATGACTCTGCTCCCGGAGGATAATCAGATTGGAACAGCAGCTGGTCTGTGGCTGACGAGAGCAGATCCAGCGACGGAGAACAGAGGAACACCCACAAGACATGAACATAATGCAAACAAATGATCCCTCTAAACCACAAAGAAGCTATGTCTGTCAAAAAACGATATCCCCCAATCTTAGAAAGAATATTAAAACATACATAACATTCAAAGTCATAGATAATTGGGTCCTTATTCAGAATATTCATGTTTGCTTTGTTTTAATGAGAAAACACACTGTATAAAGGGGGTTTGGGGGTTGTCTTGCCTTTTTTTTGGTTCTTGTTTGCACCATGAGTTGAAGCCAATTCCCAGTTTGACTTCCTGTTACTTACAATGGCAATAAAAATGAATATGAGACGGATTACTTCTTCCATTTTGCCTCTTAAGTGTTTTTATTAGCTCCAACACGGTTCCTTAAACTGAAGCCTTATATACTCATGTCTAAAAATACTTTTCTGTAATACACAGGGCATTGTAAGTCCTATAAGAAAATCCAAAAATCCACACAATGCAGCACAGACTGGTCAGCACCTTCACTTAGAAAGAAAGTCCTGGATTCGAATCCCAGTCAGAACAGGGCCTTTCTGAGTAAAAATATGTGCATGTTCTCACAACGTCTATGTAGATTTTCTCCAGGTGCTCCGGTTTCTCCTATATAAACGTGTGCAATAGGAAAGATCCTCTGGAAGTCCTGACCAGGCCGAGTATCAATATCCAGTAATGCAGGACGCTTCACCCACAATGCCTAGAATGAGTCTGATGTGTGTGAATGGCTGGTGGTGGTCGGTACTTTATCACCACTGTGTATGGAGTGAAAGAATAATAACATGTGAAGCATATAACAATATGGCCCTAGACAACTGCTGGTTGTTTATGACACAATCCAAATGAATATTTTGAAGTCAATTTCATATCAAAAACAAAGAATCAATGTCACTGGCCTGTCCAAACAAATTGAACACGCCGCTTTCCGCAGCCTAAATTAACCCTGACTGTCTCGGGAAAAGTGGCCCATTTACCCACTTCTTCAGGCTTCCATTTGCTGCAAGGTTTTTTCTTTTTTTCCTTTCTACTATAGATGAGCTCACCACAGCCCCCTTTGTCTCCACTCTGTACCAGCAGCACGCCTGACTGAATATAGGAGACTCAGACATGCAAGCCTTTGATGTTGTTGCTGTCTGCTACAGATCACATTCATTTCTAATTTGAAGATGCAGGATTGATTTTTTTCATTGATTTTTAAATAATGCTTGCTGATTATTAAGTTTCAAACATGAAGAGATTTGTTGTTTAAGTTGTTTATATAGTCACATGTCATTCCCCATTGTCAATAAAAGACAGCATATTAGGTCTACTTCAATTACATGGAAAATACATAATTGCTCCATAATTGTACCATTCTAATCCTTAGGCTGGTTTGATCTTGTTCATGTCAACCTGTCACTTTTTGGCTTCATGCTAAAAAAGGTGCAGCAGGGACACTGAGCTGCTTACCAAATCTTTCTCTGGCGCGGATTATATTTTTTTGGAAAATCCTACCTCGATGTTGCAGCTCAGAGTTTTGTGCTGATATGACAGTCCAGGACACACAGCCAGGAACTGAATTCATGTAAATCAAAGATAGGGTACTGAACTTTCAACCATCAAACAAATTAACCATGTATAATCCTATCACTATTTATCACAGTCATATATTTTTGGCCTCTGTCAGATCTTCAGATAAGCTTTTCAGACAGAAAAGACAGAATGTTGCAAAGGAGAGGACAGCCCTTGCATCTCAGCCCAAACCAACATCTAGGGTTAGGCTCATTCTTAAAAGCATGAAAAAGATAATCAAGATAGCATATCATGGTCTGATTTGTTCATAAAATGTTACTTTGACAAGACTCTTTCTGTTGGAACAAACGAAAATTATGTATGAAGAAAAAAGGCTGAGATTTTAGGATCTCTTTTTCAGGGGAGTCCTGGTCCCAGAGACAGGAGAGCTATTGTACATGTTTTTTAGTGGTGGGGAAACCAAAGCACATTGAGGAAAACCTACGCACTCATGGGAAGAACATGCAAACTCCAGTCAAAAAGGTCCTATCTATTGTATCCAGGACTTTCTTGCTGAGAAACGAGAGTGGCGTCCCAATAAGTGTTGATAAACTATGAAGGGTTATTTTGGCAACACACTGCATTAAATTGTTATTGTTAACACACTTTTTAAAGTTCCTGCAATATGGAAAAAACATGTCCTGATTTGTCTGCGCATTGAAAAAGCAGCAGTGACTAAGCAGCTCTCTGTCTCCTGATGCTGACTCCTCATGTGTCCAGTTTGTGCAGACCACGCAGGGATCACCACCGACTGTCCGTCTGTGTTACAAGCAAATGAAAAAGTTAACACATCTTTTTTTTTTTTTTTTTTTTTAAAGAGTAAGGTGAATACAAGGGTAACTTCATTAGGTTTTGACAAAACTTGGGCTGGCATATTAGTACAACTCCTAAACCGGGTCTGAAAAGTCTGGACATGCTTAACTTCACACTTATTTTCTGGCTTTGACATTGACACAGAAAATGCTAAATGTGATAAATGACAAATACACTAGTAGCAGTGAAATTATTATAAATGTCAAGTGTTTAAAATACTTCACTGATACATGCTATTGTTTTAGTTTTCTATACCAGTGTACTCAGCTGTGGTGCTGAAAGGATAGCTCCATTTGCACTATAGATGGTTCATACAACTTTCTTGTTTCTTTTCTATTTCCAAAAGTTTTGCAATATAGTAGGATCAATGAACAACAACATGAATATGAAGTGGGTTGTTCTTTCTTTCAATCCTAGCTCAGAACTTGATCATGAAGGGACTGTTCTAGACTTACCTGAAGTCCTTTTTTACAGCCTGAGTTCTGGATCTATGCCTGGATCTGTTTGTACTGTAGGAGTGGATCCCTCTCTCAATATAGGTCTCCCCGAGGTTTCTCACTTTGGAGTTGTTCCTTGCCGCTGCAGGAGGGTCTAAGGACGGTGATGATTCAAGACATTTAAGCCCATTTATCAACATTTATGTACAGTCGCTCATTATGGACCAATGGCTCCTATATGTGCTTGTTATTATTGTTGTTGAGGAATCAATAACTTTATAGCCAGTACCTCTCGTATGTTTAGAGATTTTCCTTGCAGATGCAGGAGGTTCTGTTGGACAATTAGTGTCTAACAAGAAGAACTGTGGTGATGAGGACACTCTAAAATTAAAATGTATCAACATTCATGAACATTGGTCTCCCCTATGGACCAATACATGTGTATTTTTTGTGTCTTAACTGTTGATTCTCTAATCTGTGTTGGTGATTTCAATGGTTTTGTTGAGTCCTCTGAGATGACTTCTGTTGTGATTTATGGCTATACAAGAATAAATTGTATTGTATTGTATTGTAAATGGTTTGTTATACACTGAAGCTGCCATACATGCCATAAAAGTACAGGTCCAGACCCTATAGTTTGAACAACTAGAAGCTGTATCATTCACAAAACGAACAAAGAAATCAATTAATCTGCTTCTGTTGACCAAAACGCAACCATTTTATTTATTTATTTATTTTTTTAAATCTAGAATAACTCACTAAAAGTCACTGTGATTAGGATTCTTAGAAACTTGTGCGTTATTCAACATTGCAAAATGCACCTGAGTGACATTCCAAGCACAGTTTGGAATGTTTTAACTTTATGGTGAGAAGCAGCTGCGGACGCCGTCAGATTTTTTATTTTGATCAATAGTCTGACTTTGATGCTCTAGCCAAGGCATATCCAAACTTATTGGACCCTCTGCCTTGCTAATCCAAAGTATAGCCTTTGACATCATAAACACCAGTTCACAGTGTCATCCAGCCAACTTCAGCATCAGAACTTCTAGAATTCAGAATTCATTTATTTGATTATTCTGACATTTATTTTTGAGTCACAAAATGATGTAGATAGTGCTAAAGTAGCCGATGAGATGGTACACATTAGTCATTCAGCCAACTTCAGCTCTATCAAAATATGGACATACCAAACCTCATGGACAGCCTGAATCCCATCAAAACCAATTCATGTTGTCGGCCCCTTTGAAGAACTGTTGAGTGAAAGTGGAAGGCCCTCTTACTACAAAGTTTGCCCTCCATGCTCTATAGCCTGTATGTTATTTTATTATGAGTTTTTTGGGCTTGTGTGTGTGTATGGACTACATTTCTCCATTGGCAGAAATATTCAAGTTGTATTCTTCACTGAATGATGTTTATAGTGTCTCACCACCTGCAGTGCCTCTCCAGCGCGTGTCTGTGCGCATCTCTCTCTTTCTCCCAGACTCACTCACTCCACCGACTCCAGTCACTTTGGAGCAGGGCGCACGATGGCAGAGCGCAGGGAGAAGCGGGACATCGCGGAGGAACACGACCTGCCCGTGTACCTGGCCAGACCGGGCACCGCGGACCAGATCCCGAGGCAGAAGTACGGTGGCTTGTTCTGCAGCGTCCGGGATGCGTTTGACGGGAAGAGCATTGACTTTGACGCGCTGAGTGTGGGTCAAAGCACCCCAAGATCATCGCGCAAGGATGGGGGCCACAGAGCCAGGAGTCCGGTCAGTGACTGGAGCTCCCCCGGTGTGGAGAGGAAGCGTGTGGAGAAGCGAGGAGAGAGGAGTCTGGAGAGGGCTCTGGAGAGGAGCATCGAGACCAGGAGCGTGCACAGCAGGAGGGATAAGGAGGCGCTGCAGAACCTGGGAGAGCAAAAGGTGACGTCTTGTAACTTTAATATGACTATGTGTATGGAAGTGAGAATTAATTCAGATTCCTTTTATTTACCATTTGCAGTAAAACAACATTGGAATACATGCACAAAAGTACCCCAGTGTGCACCAGACAAATATGTTAAATAAAACAAGCTAAAAAGTAAAAGAAACAATTGTCACTGTGAAATCAAGGAAAACTATTTAAATACAAGTGCAAGGTCACCAAGGTGTTTTGTTCAAACTGTTAACAGCTTGTGGGAAGAAGCTACTTGCATAATATCAAGATTAACAATATATTCTGCCAGAAGGAAGGAGCTGGAACATGGCTTTACCAGCGTGGTTAGAGAAGTTATTGAATAGATCTATAATTCTATAATTTTCTATAATTTATAGAAATTTATAGTTCTATAATTTCCACATTCCAAAGAGAGCGTCAATAACTCACAGGGCTCTTTCTAACAAGTAAACATAAGCAAACATAACATAACAAGTGATCTGAAAAGGTAAAGACAGTGTGTTGTGGTTGGATTTGTTCATACAATTGTACTTTTACCATATTTGTAATGTTGGGACAAACGTTTATGGCATGAGAAAGTTCGGTACCCCAAATTCAAAGAGTTACCACGCTGTAATTTACAGTAGATCTCAAAAGCAATGCCTTTGTTTAATAATGCTCTTGAATAATACATCCTGTTTGATGTGTGGATAAATTCAGGGCTCTTATTTACTATTTTATCCTGCTGTTATGTGAACTATGACATTAATTTCCCCACTCAGGGACAAATAAAAGTTTATCTATGTTATATTTTCTGTGGGGTGCAGCCTGTGTGCTTTGTTGCACAAAAAAAGGTTGTCAATGTGTTTTATGGGCAGCACTTTGGCACAGTGGTTTAAGCTTGTGCTTCAGAGCAAGAAGGTAGTTATTAAACTACTTGGGCCGGATTGGGGATTTTAAAGTTTCCCCAACCACTAAAAACATGTACAATAGTTCAGGGTGAATAGGTGCATGTGTGTGTTTGTGAGACAGTGGTACAAATGATCCAAAGGCGAATGTATTTAAAGCGTAGTGTATTTACAGTATACAGTAATACCTGCTGTTCATGAATGTCCTGATCAAATAAACAAACACATCATGTATTTCTGCTTTGCATACAGTGTATAAAGAGTTTAAGGTCAAATACTGCACATTTCTACCAAGTCATCATGCAGATGCAGAAATATGAATCCCTGAATAGCAAGTACAGTAGGTGACAGAGCAGAACCAAGAGCTTACAGCTGCTGCTGCTAATGCTGCTGCTGCTGCTCCTGCTGCTTCTGTTATAGATAGACACCTATGTTTCAGTGGCATTGGGTCACTTTCATTAGGGAAACAATAAAGTATTTACAAGAAGTTCATAAACAAACAAATAAACAAACGTATCTGAATACCAAAATACTGACTTAGGACTTATTGTCCTATTAGTGAGGTACTAAATCTGCAGGTCAGCGGGGGAAAACTGTTTTATTTCATCTTCATGCTCAGCTGTAAAATGTTCTGGTGCACGTTGAAGGTTCTGGTCCCTGGCTGCGCCTTCAAATTCTGTCCATATAAACAGTAAGCAGAACCGGTGACAAAGAGCATTCTTGGCAAAGACCGACATGCACCAGGAACAGGTCTGACTTACGGCCGGCAATACAAATACACTCCGGTCCCTGTCTGAGATTTGAGATTTGAGATATGATTTATTTCTTCTAATTCTCAAGAAGAACTCGCTCTGTCTGTGAGTCGGAGCTAGTTCGCCGCTCAGCAGAGGTCAGTTCAATTACAACCTCAAAACGATACCCTGTTTTTTATTCTTTAAATGTTTTCAAAAGTGTAAGATTTGCATAACATAGAAATTTATAGTCAATTATACAAACCATTTACATGAAATATGAAAGTGAGAGCACATTTAGTTCAGTGGGGCATGTTTCCTGGTGCAGCATTACCAGTATTTCTGCATCCCTAATCCGTCCGCTCTTCTCTGTCTGAGGATTTTATTTTGCTGTTTGAAGCTCGAGAGAAAAGAACCAGAGTGACGGATGTTTAGCAAACTCTGTTACACTGCAATATAAGCAGAGTTTTCAAACTTGTGGCTCTAATATCCCCTTTCACAATGAGCATTATGAATATGTTATAGTCATTATGCTTTTAACTTATTATGAAATATATTGTAAAAATGTATAAAAATCCTCCTACACCTCTGATTGGTAAACAATGTTTAGGCCACAGCATGAGGTGAGATGCCTGGAGATAAGTCAGCACCAAACCCTGACACGGCAAACATTTAAATCATAAAATGGTAAGATTTATGTCTGTGTTTATGTCTGTCTCTTTGATAACAGAGACGTTGCACATTTCTGCAAACACATACTTTTAGTTAAACTGTGTAAAATGGTTGACACTGACTTGAATCGAGCTGTTCTGGGCATTTGTTTGAATATATGCACTGTATGTGAATTAATGAAGAATGGATGGAGCATGTTGTGATATCATTTTTGGGTACAGTCATTTCATTTGTTTTTTTAACCTGCACAGCACAATTTCACAAACATCATACACAAAGCATAACAAATATGGTTCAAAAAGGGGTTGGTATGGGGGCGCTAGCGAGCGCGATGGCGTAAAGACGCACCTTCGAGAGCTCCTGCGAATTTAGTAAAATTCCAACTTAAAAGACACGCAAGTTACCTCCCTGCACGATAAATCTCTTTCTAAACGTGTTACCTATTGCTACGGTGCCAGATACACCACGCACGGTGCATTTATGGCCGCAAATCTACGAAAATACAAGTTCGAGGCCTCCTCCAGCCCAAAGCCCAGCGCAGCCTCGGTGAAAAGTTTGAGTGACCCAGCTCCCTCCGCCCACGCACCCGCTAGCCAAGCAACGAAAGCTCCAAAGGCTAGCTCTAGCATCATGGACCCAGAAACAATCAAAGCGGACATCCTAGCCTCACTACGCCAAGACTTCTCAGCGATTATCAAAGGTGAAATGAGAGAAGCACTCCGCGACAACTTTGAATCACTTAAAACGCAGATTGAAGACGTAAAAACTGAGATTAAGAACAACACCGCAGCTCTCCGGGCGGAGGTAGACCAGGTAAAAGCTAACATGAGATCAGTAGAAGACCACATGTCCACCATGTCTGACGAGATGATACAAGCTCAGGGTCAAGTGTCTGATCTCCAA